TATATATATATATATATATATATATTATATACATATATATCTAGTTTCCATTCCCGTCGCACAATGATAAAGCATATTAACGCAACATACTATACGGTGCAATGGACACGAGCGAATAACAATGAACGATATTTCCTATGGCTTTTAGATATCCCGATTACTCGAGTACTCGAATACCTTTCTCTCGTCCCTTCCTGTCTCTCTTCCTCTCTTCCCTCTAGTCGAATTCTGCTTGCTTGTAGTATCGAAACAAGAGTAAGCATTCGAACGTTCGTAGATACGTTTTATGGATATATTATAGGGAATACATTGAAGATTTATGGGGATCGTAATGAGACGCGGTTGATAAAATTGTGGAATAAATCTGGAAATGCGTGTAAAAGTTATTTAGTGTGCAATGTACGTTTCGTCAGAAATCGATAGCGACAGAGTTAATAGATCTCGTTTATTACACGCTCAAGTTGCTTACTCACGCTGTATATTAATTTTTACCATGCATTTGCGACGAGATATCTCGTGTTTTTTCTACATACGTTTTGTTCAGATTGATCTTAAATTTATATCGACACGACGTGGCGACGATTGATCGCAGCGTTAATGAACATTTTGAAATGTTTTGCAGCAATGTATCTCTATGTCCATTGTTTCTTCAATTTCATCTAAAGCTGAACTGTCGTTCATACGTGTACTTAAATTTCATTACTACGGTGTGTACGTTTCATGTATTTAAATAATATATTTCAAGATGCACGCGTGCCAGGTGAAACGAATGCAAAACAAAAGTAGCTTCCTTTCAGCTCCTTTCATTGGTTTTTTTCATTTGTATATATACCGTTAGCCTACATACCTTTAACCTCCATCCCGTGGAGAACATACACACAGTTGCCGGAGCAAACATTTACTCTTATATATCACATTAGAATATAGAAAGCAAATGTTTAGAATATGTATAACAGTATAACAGTAATTTGTTATATCATACTATATGCCGACGTTATTTTCGTTATACTTCAAAGTATAAGTGAATGAATCAAATGAACCAAATTTGAAATTCTTCATCTTCTGGAGAATTTAACGGGTACGTAACTTAATGAAAGTTCGCTCATAAATTCGTAAAAATTCGTTTCTGTTACGAGGTTGTAGTTACTCAATATAAACCAAAAGGAAAAATAAATATTTTCGTATACTTGAGATGAAACCAGCATTCGCGTACAAGACAGAAAAGTGGACACAGTAGTAGTAACATCTGGTCAGCGAAAGACGAAAGTCGTAGTAGTAGAAGCAAACCCATAAAGAATCATTGCGTTACCAATCCCACGCATCCGCCTTAAAGCTGTGCCGATTCACGTATTAATATCGAAGCTTTATCTTCGATAACAGCCTTGATAAAGTCACGCAAATTATTCGATCAATCGTGGCTATTTATAAACAGTTTTATTATTCGAATATTCGAAAATTCATCGAAATGTTCCGCTCGCGAGATTTGTTTTATTTGTGTTACTAAGGCTGACGTTTATTTTCTTTACTGTTAAATTTGAACGTAATTTCGTTTCTATTTTATTTACTGCTGAAACTCTATGCCGACTAGAAACACGATTGCGGAGGCTCGAGTGAAAGAAAACGGGCTTTGTGGAAAAGAACCGATAATCATGAGGAGATCACAATTGCAACGGTATGAAAGATACAGCGAATACGGCTAATTTGCATACAAAATTGGAGACTTTCGATGCAGTGGAATCCTAACCTGTGAATTAACGTCTTTCGCGGTGAACAGCCTGGAAACAGAGTGAGCGATGAAGCTGGTTGAACAGCTTCATCTTTGAGGATAGATTGCACGAAGATAAAGTTGCTGTTGCTATCCTGCTGCCCGAGAGAAATAATTAGCGTGTAATTGTGATACTGTTACGTGACCAGAATCTATCGATTTTGTACTTGGCCATTTCATTAGTAGAACGTTTTGGTAAGTTCGATCTTGCAGTGAATGGATTTCCAGTCGAAATTTCTTAGATACAACAATGCTTTAACTAAACTTATTCTTCATTTCATGTATAGACGAAAACTCATAAGTGTTTCTGTTATCACATACTCGTCATTGATGCACGTTAGTTCGCCCACAGTGGAAGAACATTCGAGACTCAATCAAACGACGATTCGTTCAAACGGGACTCTGAAGCAGCTGTAATTTTCACCAAACATAACTCATTAGTGTCGCACATTATGCGTCACGCTACAGACTTACTAAAATCCGACGAGCGTGTTACTCGGCAACACGGCGACAATCACGGACACTGAACAGCAATCGATCCAATCGATGTATCCGAACGGAACTGCACAAATTTCTAACAAAATCGCCGAGTGTTAAGTTTCAAACGGCGATTAAACAAAGACAAAGGTGACGGACGCGACGTGTCGGCTCTCTGGCCGAGCAAGATCGGCTTTCACTCGATCTCGAATCGTGTCAAAAGCACGATTGGCGATAGAAGCATTGGCTCTCCTCGCGTACACCTACGCGTCCCTCTAGTTCCGCGACCGGTCGAAGACGTCCACGATTCTACGTCGTCGACCGCATCCGGCCGAGCGAAACACGGCGGCTAGACTGGAGATCGGCGTCCAGTCACCGATGTTCGAATTCGCACGATCAAACCAGGCGACCGCGGTGCAAGCTGGTGTCACTTTCCGCGACCATTACCGAGCGCACTGCTGCTGTTGTCCTGAGCAGAGGAGCGTCCACTTCCGTTTCGGCGGCGGTGATCACAGGTCTCCGGTCCCGCGTCCGGTCTGCGGGGCACTCGAGAGGCTCGACAGGCACCGGTATATCGGCACACGGGAGAGCAAACGAAGGAACGTGGTGTGCTCACTTACCTGGACCGCGCAGCCGCTTTAGGTCTCGGTGAACCGAGCGATGGAGAAGCGACCGGTGAAGCGACCAATCGGCGCTCCTTATCGCCGACGTGGCGTAGGTGTGCGTGTGCCGATATACATGTGCACACGGACAGAAGGCAGATCGGCGGTGGTTGTTGTTTAGGTATCGGCGTTCGGATTTGCGGCTTTTGCCGCGCGGCTCGTTCGACGGAACACCGCGAACTTCGGCTACTCGCGAGCGAGCCAGCGCGGAGAGATCGCGCGGTCGCTTCGGTACGTTTCGCTTCGCTTCGGTTACCCTCGGCGCCGCTTTTGCTCCAGCTACCAGCGCGAGCGGGGGCGTTAGACGACAGTAACGCTCCGTCCGCCGATGTCAACGACTACTGCCTCCATCTCTAGCCTCCATCTCTTTCCTTTCGAGTGTGAGGCCACTTTCCTTGCCGA